TGTGATTGAGTTCCTCAAACAAAAAGATGAAGAAAAAGCAACAAAGGAAGCTTTGAAAGTTGCTTAACGCTTAACGCAAAGCGTTAACTCTCTATGCCAAGCACTTAAATGCCTGAGCATAATAATGCTGAGCAACCACAGCAAAACAATAATAAAAAACAAGTACCAGCAGCCAAACAATTAAAAGTGGCAAAATGTAAAAAGTGTAGAGCACAAAATGTAATGGCAAAAATGTAAAAGTGTAGAGTTATACACAGAAATGTTGTGATGTAAGAATTCGATGTGTCGGGAACGTTTGTGCAAAGAAACATGTTTGTCAAAAAAGTTTTTTGGAACTGAACTTTATCGTTGCAAAATATGTAAAATTTTCAATATGGTTTCTAAAATTTAAGTTGTGTTAAAAATAATTATTTAAAAAAGTTAAAATTTATGCTTTTATAAGTGTGCGGTTTTATCAGGATGTCGCCTAAAACAGCACAATTTTTTTTTCTTTACATTTAATATTTTCGATAATTTGAATATTTTGTTTCATATATATTTATTTAATCTTATGTAATTTTTTTATTAACTATCTAATAAAATAATAATAACTATCTAATAAAATAATAATAGTAATAAATAAAAAACATTTAACTTTTATTGATTAGTGTGCGGTTTAACCCGGTTTTCATCTATTGTTTCAATAAAATGTGCCTTGAAATTTGAACTTTTAATATATAAAACTTGAAATTTAAACTTTTAATGATAAGTATTGTTAATAACGAATCATTATATTCTACAAATTAGTTCTAATTGTCAGATTGTTTTTTGTTTTTTTTACTTTATTAATGTTATTTTTTAAAATATAATTTAAAGCGCTTATATTACCAAGTGGGCTGGGTAATATGAGCACTTTTGCTACTTTTTAAAAACCTCTATGTTTTAAAGAAAATAAAAATTTTGAGTGCCCAAATATCTAAGTGGGTCATGAGTAGTGATCCCTAAAAACTATAATACATAATTTAATTAAATTTTGTAAAAAAAAAAAATTTTAATTTTTTTTAATTTATTGCAATCATTTTAAAAACCAAGAATTTGCAACTGCCGTTTATACGACAATATTCCATTTAAGCCATTTAGTTTTTAATTTTTACGTTTTTCGATGTTTTGGGGTTTTGTGACATAATTAAAAATTCAGGTTTTAGTATTTTTAATATAATAGTTATGGAAGCTATTTAATCGCAAATTATAACTTTGAGGAAGTGATGACAAAAATATTTTTCAAAAAGAACTCGGTTGCATTATGATTTTTTATTTGAAAAATAAAAATAAGATTCTGATATATATTAGGTTTTCCAAGTTTAAGACTTTCATATTTGTCACCACATTATAAGGATTGTTCATTCTATTTAGATAATGAATTGCTTTAAAACATGGTTTTGCAAGACTTGTTGTTTGATTAAATTTGTTTTGTGTTTAATAGCCCAAACCTTATTAGCATATATGAGATGACTATAAATTAAACGAAAGTAAAGTGAACAGAAATCAAGAAATGGACAGTATTTACGTAAAACGCCTATTGCAGATGATATTTTTGATTCAATGAACCCAATATTATTTTTCCACAATAACTTTTCATCTATTTGAATACCAAAAAACTTTGGAAGCTTTTTTTTATCTTTTTATTGTTATGTAGTTAGGTTTGTTTCTCATTTATAAGATCTATTTGTACCACTTGTGCGTGCTCCCAAGATACTTCAAAATAATTTTCATCTCAAACACAATGTTGATTAAATTTACCAACAAAATCGGATGGATTACTAATAAGTTTTAACAAACTTTTATTTCTTGTTGCTCAATTTTTTTTGAGTCTTACTTTTAATAAACTATTAGGGTTAGGGCAAGCATTAAGAAATTGTGTTTTAGCGTTCTTGTAATAGTATTAGGCAGGTGCATTGTAATATAAAATATTAAGAGTATTTTATATTTTTTTATATTTATTAGAAATATTAATATTTCTAATAAATAGTGTATCTGTATAGTACTTTTTTTTTTTTTTTGTTACTGTAGAAAATGTTTGCAGTTTAGCAATTACTTTTTGCCACTTTATGTATTAAAACTTATATAAAACAATACGATATATTATCTTCTAGTTTATATATTTACGTCTTTACAATAAAGATATTTGTAAATTACGATTTTATAAAAATGGTGCTTGGTGATAAGACGTTATGTCTTCTTCTTGCCCCAGCTATTTATTTTATTGTATATGTATGTATATGAAAACTGTATTTATAGTGAAAGCCGAAATAACATTAAAAAAAAAATTCTTAAAGATTTTTCAATTTTAAAAGGGGAATTATTGTTTTTAAAGAGGGAGAATTTCAGAGTTCAAACTTCTGCATTATACTTAAATACTTCAACTTAATGATTGCATAATATTTTTTTCTTGTTTCACTCCGCAAAGACTAATTGATTGAATCATGTTACTACAAAGGTAGCTAGTTTTTTATTTCGATACAAATTTTATGCAATAAATTGACCTGAAATTGAAAACAAATTCCGGTTACCTCTGTAGTAAGATATTGGATGTATGCATTGAAAATGAGCGTTTTATATGGAGACTTATAATTCAGCAGGTATATATCCAAGCAGGCTAAATAAATTTTACCTAAAAGCTAAAACTCTAAGCTGCAAACATCAGTCCAATTTCAACTGCCGGAGTGTAAAGACGTTTTTGTCCAAAATTTTAAACATGGTTGAGTTTGTGCCTACAAAATCTGTTTTTGATAAAAAATTTTCACATTACTTCCACCAAATGACAACAGCAGCTAAGGCGTATAAAATATTTATGGAAACATTCGGGCGACAATACTCTTTTAAAAAAGCATGCAGAATATGATTCGAACAATTCAAGAGTGGTAATTTTGTCCTCAAAGATGAAGAACATCCTGGTGCAGAGAAAAAGTTTAAAGATACCAAATTGGAGGTATTAATTTGATGACGATCCTTGCCAGACACAGGAAAAGTTTGCGGAAACATTAAGAGTCGATTAATCAACAGTTTTTAGGTGCTTGAAACAACTGAGAGTGATTCAAAAGCTAGGAAATTGGGTGCCGTATGAGTTTAAACCACGGACATTAAAAGACAAAAGATTTCTGCATCGAATGGTTACTAGTAATGAAATGTGAATACGTTACAACAATCCTAAATGCAGAAAAGCATGGTTCAAGCCATTCAAAGTTGATAGAGAAACCGAATATTTATTCTTTTAAGCTCATGCTCTGTATCAAGTGGGACCAGCTCAGAAAAAATATATTATGAGTTGTTTAAACCAATTAAAGGTCGTAGCTGACAATGGGCAATATTTTGAATGATGTGAGTGAAAATAATTGTTTATTTTTATTAAAAATCGCTAATTTTCAATGCATACTCTCAATACTTCAATTCGTTTTTACGGATGTAAACTGTGTTGAGAATCGAGAAACAAAATTATTCTCTAAAACCATTATTATCTATTGTTATAAAAAACAAAATGATATAATAAATACACTGCTTTAAATGTGTTCAATAAATAAAACTATCGGTTTACAACTCTTTATTATCGGTAAATTAAATTAATCCGGAAAAGAAGAAAAAAACTACGGTTTTCTAATTTTTTGAATTTTTTTGACTTTGCACAAAATGAATTTTCTGAGTAAAAATTATTTCAAAATATTCAATGGTTCTCGGATTTTAGCCAATTTCCTTTTTTCGTAGGAATGCGACGCTTAGTATGGTGAAGTGGTTCGAACGCTTACTTTATAAGCCACTGAAATACTTATAAGCCACTGAAATATTTTACAAGCCAAGGGTTCACTGACACTATAAGCATTTTTAGCGTAAACTTTTTTTTCAAAAAGCTCTTTCGCGGTGCTCAGTTACAAAATTGGTCTTCTTGGGGCACCAAAAACAAAATAAGTATTTAAAAATTAAAGGTGTATTTTGTCCGTGTATTGAATCAAAAAAAGTTGAAGATCATCTTACGAGCAAATAGTTACGCGTCATTTAAAAACAATGGAAATATTATATAAAATGTTACTGTTAGTGTTGACGGAACTTGGCAGCGTCACTTTTCATTTAATGGGTTTGTTACTTTGTTATTTTAAAATAAGACACACAGACCTTAACGAAAAATTGTAAATCTTGTAAACATTGGTAATTCAAAAAAAAATCCCTTGAGATAACCATGAATAGTTTAGATCTCCTACATGCTCAATCAAGTGTAATGGTTTTTCTGGAGCAACGAAATCTATTTGAGTGCTTGAAATGTTTAGCATTTTTTTCTCCCTAGTTTAAATACGTTTCAAATTTGGCTTTGGGATTAGTCTGCCATTATCTAACTCAAGAACTAAGTTTGTCATCTTTTTGCTCTCATCGTTGGTTTTGTTATATGTGTTGGCGCATTTTATTTGTTTACGTTAATATAATTTAAATTAAACTTTTGATATAAAGTTAGATAAAAAAAATATTTTGGGTTTGTATATATTATATATTTTAATTATATATTTTTGAACAATAATTTGTCCAAAAGGGCCAAAAACTATTTATAAAAAAGAGTGGTACTGAATAATCTTGATCATTTTTAAAAGATGGCGTTAAGTAAAAGATTTTAGTAAAATTTAAAAAAGAAAAAATTTAACTAAACTTTTGACCTCATACATTACCATATGATGTTATTTTAAATGAATGTCAATAAATAAATAAAGTCTGAAATTAGTGCGTAAATTGCATTCAGGAAGTTATAAAAGCTTAGCACGTTACCATAGGAGCTTCAGGGGGAGTTTGCCTTTTAAAATAATAAAAATCTTTTTTTTTAAACTTTTTTGAATAGACCACTATCAATTAATTACTTTAACTCTTAATACAAAAAGAAAATAAATAGTCAAACAGCATTCACAATATAACATTTCTACAACTAAATATGATGTATATGTATTTAATATTATGACCTTATGTCGGGTTTGATTGAAGGGCGCAATAAAATAAAAACATACAATTTGCGACGTCATTGAGCGGTATAAGCAATGTTAGGATGTGTTTGTAATGGCTGCGAATGCGACACATTTGGATATTAAGTCCTCATTCTTACTGTATTCAGTCACTTTCTTGATATTTTTTGTATAATGGGTGAGAATAATCTTTCAATTATTTGATGTAAAAAGAAAAAAAAAAAATCAAACTGAAAGCTGAACTCTTACTTTTTGTATATCAGAAAAGTGTAAGAGATACTTCTGTTATTCAACAATACTTGTCTGTAAACACGATTTATGTCTTCAGTTTGTTTAAAAAATAAGTTAAACTTCTGATTTTTAAAATTTAATTTGAATATGACATAAATATTGATATATTCTGCATACTAACTAAATCGGTTGTTCAATTAGTTTTTTCAACAGTTAACTGTCTAAATAAATCTGTGTGATGAATGAATCCCTACTTATAATGACTGATTGTTTCAGAATAAATCATGATGGTGTCATAATATCTCAATATTTGTTTGATGTCTGAACAAATAAATACTATAATAAATCTAAACCAGAAAATAAAATTAAAATAATGTTAAATTAATTAAAAAACTTTTTTTTAGCTTAATTAATACACATTACACAGTGAATGTAATTGTAGAATATTCTCTCTTTGTAAATTTTTGTATGATATAATGTAATGCATATTGTTCAAAAAGAAAAACAAAACTGAACTCTTATTGTTTAAAATCCATATGTAAAGAAACTTGTGTTAAAAAGTGCAGTATCTTTCTCAATAAGTTAAAAGTTATGTAAAATGAAAATCAGTAATCAATGAAGCTTTTAAGATCACATTAATTTTTACAAAACAAACATTTGAGGAAATCAAAATATTTTTGAGACTTGTCTGCAAAATTTACTAAAGAGTTGAGCTGCATTCTGTTCTTTTTAATTGCACAAAAGAAGAGAGCAGCATTAAAAAAAACAAATAAGTTTCCTGATTTTGAATGGTACTGTAAGGAGTTAAAAAAATGAATTAAAGTCAATTTTTGAAAAATATAATCATTCAATATAATCAAGAATTTTTATACTTTTATTATTTGGCTGGAAAATTCTTTTTATTTTAAAACTAAAAAAAAAATCTATCCTCACTTTTAGTGTTGTGACTAAAACATAATATTGTGATTAACTAAAGTAATAAAAAAAATATTTTTGACTAAATGACAAATGTTTGTTATGGCTAAAATTATCTAACTAGCTTTTTACTCTAAAAATATATTTGAGCTTTTATGTGATAATTTAAAAAACTAGTTCTACACACATTTAATTTAACTCAATTTCTGAGAAAAATTTAGTTGACTAAAAATTTTAGTTAAACTAAAACTGCTATTTACTCCTAACTAAATTAAAATTAATTACTCTAAATTACTTCGAAGATACAAATAATTAAAAGTTGTTACAGCAAATTGAAAGTTGTTTTTAAATACAAATAGAGCTTATCACTAGACTCTTATTAGATAAAACCTTTTGAATGAGCAAATCATGCAGGTAATTGAAATATTAACACTGAAAGTGATAGAACATAATATTGAAAAAGATGAAATATCGAATGTTATTAAAATTCAGAAAAATTAATTACACAAAAAACATTTTATATTTGGGATAACTATGAAGAGTTGAATTAACTCAAAAAAATTTTAGTAAAGAATTAAAAAAAAAAAATTAATTCTTTTTACTGATACGAGTATATTTAATTTAACTCTAAACACATGCTAAATGAAATCTATTTGTTGTAAACCTAAACATCATTCATATCTATATTTTCGATTTTTACGTAATCATAGTTATATTTTTTTCAACCAGTATTATTTTAAAAACTATGTTTAAAATTAAACAAAATAGTCATCACATTTTATTCAATTGCAGTAACCTTTTTGTAAATTACAGGTGGAATATTTTCAAGAATATTTGCTAGTCTCTTTGGTGCTAAAGAAACCCGAATTTTAATATTAGGATTAGATGGTGCTGGTAAAACTACAATTTTATACAGGTGATCTTTTATTTTAGTTTATTTTTTTCTTTTCAAAAACATTAGTAATGTCCCTGAAAGTTATTATTATTTTCAATAGAAACATACTAAAATATTGTTAAATTATAGTAAAAAAACTATTTTTTTTTTTTAAAGTTACTATAGTATATTTTTTAAAAGTATCCCAAAAAAAATGTCATTTTTCCAAAAAAAACTAGAAAAATTTGGAAAGAAGGAAGATTATTTATTGAATAAGCCAAATAAGACTAATTTAGTCTTACTAACCTCGAGTTTGTATTTTTTCAGATTAATTTAAGACATGTTTTTTTATTAAATGTGCAAATATATTTTATTTAATCTAAAAAATTTCTCCTTTATTTTTATATTTTGCTCCTGAGATCTTTGACCAATATTTCTTTAAACCTTGCTTTACTAGATATTCTTACCAAATTTTGTAATATTTTATCAATCATGGAGTTGCACTTGGTTTTTAGAATTACCAACAGGTTGTTTGATCATTTTATAAGCATCTCTAAATGTTACTCTATGTTTTAAATTTTGTTAGTTTTTATATAATTTGAGGGGTTTTTGTATACCTGAAAGTTTTATCCATCTCTTTACAAATTTTGAGATATTTAAGTTTCAATTTTGCTGATTTATGCTGACTCATTTAAGTAGCATGTTTTTTTTTTATCATTGAATAGTTACATTTAATGAACAAAATGAGTATTAACCTTAAGTTTAGTAATAGACAGTCTACGTGGAGTATTCAAATAGACAGTCTTCTACGTGTAGTATTCAAATATCAATTTAAAAATAAATTTTTAGAGTAATAACTGCATTTAAATTGAATATAAGCATATGATTTGAGATATTCTGATGTTCAAAGTAGCAATGTCACTTCAATTAATTTTTTTTGGCTCATTTAAAATTTAAAATATAGGTATCAAAAATCACTTTTAAAACCACAAATATTATCTTATTTTTTCTTTTTAAAATACTTTTTGTGGTACATGTTTTTTAGCTTTATAATATACTAGATAAAAAGTTGCACACACATTTTACATTATTTTTAATAAATAACAAATTAAAAAGTAACTACACTTTTTTTTGTTAACCCTCGGAATTAGGAAAATTGAGGTAGGCAATAATTTGCAGACCTCATTATTTTAGAGGTCGGCATCAGGTCGACAAATACAAAAATCTTACCATAAAATATCGAAACGAGGTCGGGAAAACCAAATTTTTTTTGCCGACCGCAAACACGTTTAGGTCGGCAGTTAGGTCAGCATTGCCAAATGCCACACCTAATTCCGAAGGTTGATATATATATATATATATATATATATATATATATATATATATATATATATATATATATATATATATATATATATATATATATATATAATATATATATATATATATATATGGGCTATTCTAAACCATTTTCAACAGCGTTGACTGTATTTAGGCGCAAATTTAAAAAATTTAAGGTCTTTTTTTTTAATGGTAAATATTGTTATTTTTGCAAAAAAACTGCCGATTTTCCACTAAAATTTGCCCGAATGAGGAGTTACCACCCAAATTTTTTACCTAGAATAGGCCCTGATATATATATATATATATATATATATATATATATATATATTTAATATATATATATATATATATATATATATATATATATATATATGTATATATATATATATATATATATATATCTACTCTAGCATATTTATATGTGCACTTGCTAATTTTTTTTGCTCATATAAATCGATATAGGTTTTTTAGAAAACGAAAAGGGAAAATCGAAGAATAATGAATGAAAAGGTTGCTGATCCATCCCAAAACCCTTAGGCTATATAACAGCACTCCACGGCGAGTCAGGCTATTTGTCAGTCGATGTATATACTGAAGCCCCCAACAGCAGGCTATTTCAGTATGATGTCACAGCTCTTACCTAAATTAGCAGTATAGAAAATCTTTGTATTATTACCAAAAAAAAAATTTTAATTTGGTTTTATGTGTTAAATTAATTTTTTTGGTGATGACAAAAAGAAAATATTTCAACTAATAAAATTTAATAAACTAAAGCCATATTTTACCAGTAGACAAACAAATGTATTGATATTTATGTATCTATGTGTGTATCATACATAGATACATACTATGTATGTATATATATGTATAGGCCTTGGCAAGAGTAAATAAGTGCAAAAGTAAAGAAAGCTCTAAAAACTCCTAAAACAAACATGGCGAGCCATGTGAGCTGCTCCTCTAAACAGCTTCTTATGAGAGCTTTTGGTTTTTGCACGAACTATCTGTTTATTCATTAAAAAAATTGCTTATTAAATACAAAATTTGGTTTTATAATTGCTACAAGCATATGTTTGTAAATTTAATGTTTTAAGAATACATATAAGCATCATTTATTGCATTGTGAAAAGTTTTTTTAGACAATATATAAGTAGCCTCTTCGTCTATAGTGGCCTTCTTGGCCTTGAGGAGGTGAATAACAAAAAATATATATATATATATATATTTTTTAAATAAAAATGACTTTGTTTTTTATTTTAGCTACAATGATAGTTACACTTTTGAGAGAAAAATTATACTTTTGCGAGAGCCGTAAATTGCTCCTGTAAACCATTTCAGGCAATAGCCTGTATGTAAACACACATAAGAAACATTCAATGTACAAGTAAAATAAAAACATAAATAAAAAGGGTGGAAAATAATATATTGGTATAAGATATATGGGTAGAAAGATGATTGTTCCTGTAAAACACAATTAGAATTAAGTAGTGAACTAATATAGCCAAAACTTCATCTGATCAAACATGGTTAATATCACTTCCCAGAGAACATTAATACTTTTTATCATTATCTCAGAGAACATTAATACTTTTATCATTATCTGTATAGATAATGATAAAAGTATTCTTTAATAAGTCTTTGTATAGATTTTAATACATAAAACACCAAAGCCTTTCCTACATTATATACAATAACAAAATTTGAAGAAATAAAGAAATAGAATATAGAAAAAAAAACATCTATAAAAACTATATAAACATGATTATAAAAGCAGGTTACAAAATACTAGTAAAAACTAAGAACTTTAAAAATATTAAGTATTAATAAGTATATAAAAATATTATTAGATATTAATAAGTATTAAAAATTGTATTAGTAGAATAAAAAACTAGATAGATAGTTAACTAGGATTTTAAAACTTAAATTTGCTTCAATAAGCAAATAAGCGCTATAATTAATTAGTAAAGTACAAAGAAAAACATAAAATACATAAGAATATGTAATATGGCATAATAAAAAGTTATGAGCCAAAAAAATCATATCATGACATTTGGTTTGCATATCTGTACATATACTCTATATATGCTTGTTTGTGCATGCATATATACATATGCATTTTATTTTGATTTCTATTATATTTTATCTATTAAATTTTTATTATGTTAACTATTTGTGTGTGTGTGTGTGTGTGTGTGTGTGTGTGTGTGTGTGTGTGTGTGTGTGTATTGTTACTTGTTTAGCAAAATCAAATTTTTTCTAATTTTTTTTTTTAGTTTATTTTCATTAGCTCAATTTAGAATCACCATCATCATCATCATCATCATCATCATCATTATCATCAACATCATTATCATCATCATCATCATCATCATCATCATCATCATCATCATCATCATCATCATCATCATCATCAGTATATAGTTCTCTGTTCGTTATTGCAACAAGATCATCGGCTCACAGGATTTTAGATTATTGCCGTGCCACTTAATGTTTTTTAATTTTTTTTTTCAGTATTACCAATAAGAAAGATCTAAAAATTTTAGATATGTCATTTTTGAAAAAAAATATTGAGAAAAAACTGTAAGTATAAGAGCCATTTTAAAAGATGCGTTGCATTACCGAATGGATCGAAAAAGAGGGTTTATGCATGGGGATCATAAAAATGACATTCGGGTATGTTTTTTTTAATCATTTTCTTCAAATCAAGCTATAAACTAAATAAATCCATATTTCTAAATTTTGACATTTTTCATATCATTGTGGCGTTTTTAAGTTTCTGAGTTCAAGTAAACTTTATATAATTTATTAGTTAACAAATCTCGTAATTGAGTTTTCAAAAAAAAAAAAACAGTTAATAAAAAATTTTTTTATAAGTTTTAAAAAAATTTTTTTTTACTGGATGTAATATTTACTAAATCGAATGGATAAAAAATAGAAACTTTGCTTTTGAAACGAAAAAGATTTTTTGGAAATTTGGTTTTAACCGTGAGGTGTTGCATTACCGAAACTACACAGGTTGCATTACCGAACTTTCTGGTTTTCACTTATAAATGAATTTGAAAGATCTATTTTGCAATGATTTTTAAGCTATTATTTTAATATAAAACTTATTAACTCTTTTTTATCTAAAAAATAAAATTGATGCAAATAATAATTGTAAAATCAAACGGAAATTATTCAAAGTCTTAGAGGCGCGTTATAGAACCTTCAAGGTAAAGAAACGGACAGTCAATTAAAACAGAGAAAAAATTTTTATTACAGAATATAAAACTATATATTGAACCTTTATGAAAAAAAAATTTAAATAAATAAATAAAACATTTAATACAACGTTTATAGTTAACAAATGCGCTCATTTTGATTACACTAATGACACTAATTTTGATTATTTTAGAATAAAAACTTTACAATAATCCTCTTACATATTTTTCAAATCAAAGTAATACATTATTTAAGTGTTTTTAAGTTAATTTTTACTTCATGAAAAAAATACACACAGCAAAATGTTGTTTTAAACAACCTTCCCAGCAAACATTTTACAGCAGAATTTTAGTAGACTTTTATAGGCATTTTGAGAGTTTCTCACTGTTTTTCTGCTGTAAAAAGGCTCATTAGTTACATAGTGGACCACTAGCTTTTATATTACATGTGGAAGAGTTATTGGCTAGCCACTTTTAGCAAATCCTTTAAGTAACCTACCA